GAGAGAGAGAGAGAGAGAGAGAGAGAGAGAGAGGGAAAAAGAGAGAGAGAGAGAGAGAGAGAGAGAGAGAGAGAGAGAGAGAGAGTTAGATCAACCAAACGGTAGAGAAGAAATATTGCAACAAATCTGGGCTTTTTCTTTTTTGGTTAAATATTAATATCTTATATTTCTCTTCAATATTGGTTGCTTGAGACAGATTTTCTATGTCATGGAAGAATGCTCAGGGGAAGGTAATGGTGAGGTTTCACAGGTTATTAATTGAGAAGAGAGAAAATGATAAGAAAACAAAAGGGGTAAAAGATAATTGAGTGATTTTCAGGATTATCATAACTAACAAATAAAAATGAAATTTACTTGGCATTAGAGATTTAATTTAATTTAAGTAATTAATGAAACATAATCTCAACCATTCAATCCATTCTAATTTAATGATTGAAAATTTGTATTAAAACTTGTGTCAAAAACATAGCGCCACAGATCCACCCCTTATATATATGCGCACTTGAATTGTACATGGAACTATTTCCCATGCCAAAACAAATGGCCGGTGAGAGGGCTTCAATCGCTTTCAAGCCAACCAAGCAAAGTTGTGAAAGGAGATGGGGCAGAGAAGAGAGGAAGAAGCAAAACCAAATAAGAGAGGAAGAAGCAAAACCAAATTGCAACTCGGTGTGTCAAGTCCTTGTATTGTACTAGTATCCGAATTAAGTCGATTGTGTTTTCAAAACCCAATTCTCGTATGCAATATTTTGTGGTCTTTAATTTGATTTCTTTGGCGTGTGCAATCAAATGTGCTGCTATTGTTGGTTAACTTTTTCAAGTCCTATCAAGTAACTGTCACTACAAGTTCTTTTCCCATGCCTTTATCTACACACAGCCACCACCACTTTATATATCATACAATAATTTAGAGAGGAACAGCCGCCGTCCTTATTCATGTGTTGACTACATGCCATACAACTATATACGTACATGGTCTATCGATTTCAATAGTTTCTTTTCTTTTCTTTTCTTTTTGGTTGAAGATTTCAATTCATTCTAGGAACCATCCAACCATTAATTCAAGCGTATGACCGCAACATGCAAGGTCTCTTAATTTTCCGTTATGAGACAACTCTTTATTTCGTATCATTTCTTCACTTTATGATGTGGGACAACTCTTCGATTTGCATCCTCTCTTAACTTTCTGATGCGAGACAACTTTCCGTTTCATATCTTGTCTTTATTTTTTGGTGTAACAATAAGATATTCATATTACAACTCTTTTCAAATTCAATGGTCGTGACAAGAATGATGAGTACAATATCCAGTTGAAAGTCAGATAATAAACTCATTTTCTTTTTTCAAAATGAAGCAAGATATCACCCCTCGCACAATATTAGAACGTACCCATGTTTTGTGATACTTGGGTGACTCAATGAGTACTCTTCAATAGTGGGCGGCTAAAGCTTTATTCTAAACAGGTTCATGTCCAAAGCTATTCATCATGAGTTTACAAAACAAACAATAATACTAAATGTGGAGCCCCGAAATATGTCACAAAAAAAAGTAAATAAAAAAAAATCATATGAACAATAAAAGATAGAGATAAGTCAAACTCCAAAATATCTCGGGAATATAAAAAATAACATAATTATAAACAGTGTTAGAGCAAAATTAATAATCTTAAAATCATGGTTATCTTATTAAGCTTAACTTTTATTCATTACAAGGCATTTGTCTCTTCTGGAAGGAGGGCCGCATTCTTATGGCGTATTATGCGTAATTGATTCTTTATTTAACTTGAATGAGTAGTTTAATGATATAAAAGTGGGCAGTTCAACTGTAAAGTTAATGTTCTAAGTTCAAATTTTTCACAACTGAAAAAAGGATACGAATGATTTGTGAATGAATGCAAGTATATGAAATTTACTTGAAGATTTTATAAATTAAAAGTTGTGCTCATCTAAAGCTTACCATAAATCTTTCATTTGATATTGAAAATAGTGAAAACTTATCAAAATTAAAATTAAAATTAAAGTATTACGTGCACGACCGATTCTAACACAACTTCACACGATACGACTCATCCTAATACAATTTTTATTTTATGGTAAATTTCACTTTACTCCCGCAGGTTTCTCAAAATTATGACTTTAATACCCAAAGGTCTTTTCCTCTCACTCTCATTCTCAACGTTTACTTTTATTGTCATGATATTTTTGCTAATCAGAAATTGAATTTCACATATGGAGGATTCATGAGTTTATTTCACATCAATGAATTAAAAAGTAAGTGGAGCCCACACAAAATTACGAATTGAATTCCTGATTTTGAATGAATTCAATTATTGAGTGAGATGTGGTATTCTAATTCCTGAAAAATTAACTTTGGTGGTTGCTCCCTCTCCCTCTTTCTCTCTTCTTATAATTAATCCTAATCCCTAATTTCAACATTCATACGCTGCTCCAAACCCTAATTGTGATCTATAATATTGGTTTCTGTTTGGACTGAGGTTGGCGTGGAAGAGGTTGTTAGGTTTATTTGGTTTAATCCATTTTTGGTTTTTCTTGGTTTGACCAATTGAAGGAGAGAGAATAGATATTGAGTAATTCGTTGAAAGAATAGATATTGGATAATTCGTTTTGATTTATGGGTTTCTGCTTTGATAGTCCAATGCTGGGTTTTATTTCCTTATGCGTTTGATTTTCATTTTTTTATTTTTTATGGATAATTATAAGAGAGAGATTGGCAAAGAGAGAGAAAGATGGATACAGTTTTATATTATTATTTACTTTTAAATGTTTTTATTATTATTAATGTGTCAAATAGGCCTCAGTAAGGACACATTGATGATGAGTGGTGGGCCATAAGAAGGACATGTCAACGTTTAAAAGAGATTTTGACGGAAATACGGACTGAGGTATGAAATTGATAATAAAAGTAAACGTTGGGAATAAGAGTGAGAGGAAGAAAAAAAAATTGGATATCAAAGTCAGAATTTTGAGAAACTTACTAGTAGTAAAGTGAAATTTACCATTTATTTTATATATTTTTCAAACAAACTTCAAAAAGTCGTTGAGCAAAACAAGACAAATATGGGTTTGATGAGCCCTTGACAGAGAAAAGAAATTGCTATAAATAAAAGAGGAACTGTTTCTTACCATATATAGCATTAAATAACCACAGAAATAGCATGCCAGATTATCAGTCAGTGGCGGTCAGATTATAATTCAAGTCGACCATCACCCCTAAAAAAGGGAAGAGAGAAGGGATCCAGGTGGTCCTCCCTTTTGTTTTTCTCCCACAGCCACAGTCGCCTGCACCAAATTAGCACCAGGTTAATCAATGGTACATTAATGTTGAAATAAGTATCCAAGTTCGAATTCCCAATCGATTAAGAATGAGTTTTATTTATGATAATCTTAATAATAAGTCTTTTGGATTAATTTATCCTCTAGCCACTAGCCTTCTAGTCCAAACAAACACATGTCCTTAACCCTCGGGTTATATTTTTATTTTGATGGGACATTTTACTTGTCCTTGTAATTAAGTTGAAGTATAGTGGTCACAAGCGATCTTGCACTTATTTTGGGATTTGGTTTCAAGAACTTTTGGTTTAATGAGAAAGTACGCGAATGGTCAAATTCCAAACACTTAAAATTTCATGCGATTTACATGATTAAAGAGGTTGTCTTATATTCTCACAAAAGAGAAGAGAAAGTCACACATTTTATAAATATATGATGTGGGATAATTGGGGTAACCTACGTTTATTTGTTTAATTAGTACTTTTACCAACGAAAAAGAACTTCAGATCTACATGTTAATTATTGCAAATTCTTTATTCGTCCAACTCCACGTTTGTTTTTCATTGATACAGAATGCAACAAGTTGAAGTTGACAATCCAACTATTCAAAATCAACTAAAGGATGCATGACCTTAACATTTTGTTTTTCTGAAATGTCATATGAAATAGAAGAAAAACTTATATAATTTGAAAGAGAGGTAACTTTAAAAACAACTCCCCGAAAAAAGCAAATGAAACATAAACGGACACTACAAAAATCCTAATAGAGAGAGAGAGAGCGCTTTATATTCGGGGTTATCTAGATTCTCAATATTCTTTGACTTTTGGTTGATCTATGCCGATATGATCTTCCTTTGACATATCTATTGTCTTTATCATGAATTTGAGTTGGCTTTGAATGTGTATCATCTTGCTAGTTACACTTTGGCTGCGTTTGGTTCATGGGAAAGGAATCTTGGGGATGGGAAACCAATTGCTTTCCCATGTTTGGTAAGTCAGGCATGGGAAAGCGTTGCCTAGCACATGGGAAAGTAGGCGGCAAAGTGAATCCTTCCTTCCTACTTGGGTTTCACTTTCCCTTCCCATGGGAAAGTAAGACTAACTTTTTTTTGACTAATTTGTCCTTACTAACAATTTATAATTACAGTTTTTATCCAACAATTATTGGTATTTTTCTATTACTTTAATAGGGATACAATTGGGAAACTAAACAAAATTTGTTTTCCATTCCTACTCAAAACAAACATGGGAAAGGAATCACCATTTTCCATCCCTTGGGAAATGACATGGGAAATGATTTCCCATGAAATTCATTCCGTGAACCAAACGGGGCCTTTGAGGTGTTGCTGCTTGGTCACAGTAGATTTACTATTGATTGCTGCTTTAGGGCCATGAAGTGACTAGATGATATTTAAAAAAAATTACTTTTTTCATTGAAAAAAAAAACAAAGAAGGTAACTTCTGTTGAGGATAGAAAAGAAGGAAAGAGCGGTAATAAGACATTTTGATGCGGAAAGTCTTCACTGTAGAAAAAGGAGAAGTGGGGCGGACCCCACAACTTGGCGTTGGAATTTCGGACGCCTTCGCTTATGAGTCTCGAGTGCTCCTTTTCCCAGCTCCTTCGTTCAATAAATAAATAAATTAATTAAATAATCATATTCTTTATCCACGTGCTTAAATTCCCTCCCTCCCACAGTCGCCGAGGCCCTCTTTATCTCCACGTGCTCAAATACCTCCCTCCTCTGGCACTCCCATAACTTCAACTCCCCTCATTTCTCCCTCTCTCTCTCTCTCTCTCTCTCTCTCTCACACACATTTTCCATAATCCCATCCCCAAACCCTTATCTCTCCTTCTCTCAAAATGAAACTTAATCAATTCTTAACAAAATTAGTTCCCACAAATTCAATATTAATAATCTCCCTACTACTCCTCGGTTCTTTAATTTCACAAGCTGAAACGACGCCGTGTGATCACACCCACCCGTTCTTCGACGTGGAAGACTGTTGCCTCAGCTGCAAGCCAACCACCGAAGCCAACAAGAACCGGAGCCTCCACGCCATGACCTCCCCGACGGCGTCATCTCCTCCGTCGTCTCACCGGAGCTGCGAGGTTTGGACGGAGGCCTGCTCGGAAGAGGTGCTGAGCTTCGCGAAGCGGCCGGAGAACGTGGAGTGGCTGAAGACGATCCGGCGGAGGATCCACGAGCATCCGGAGCTGGCGTTCGAGGAGTTCGAGACGAGCCGGTTGGTTCGGGATGAGCTGGACCGGTTGGACATCGGATACCGGTTTCCTTTGGCCAAGACCGGAATTCGGGCTTGGATCGGAACCGGAGGTCCGCCTTTTGTCGCCGTCAGAGCTGACATGGATGCTCTTCCTATTCAGGTATTTTTTGCTTAGACTTTAAGTTGAGTACAGGTGTCTGCAGTGTACATGACACATGAACTGTTCTTTCTCTCTCTCTTCTTTTTTCTTTTAGAAAAAAAATTTATATTGAAAAAACCTTTTTATTTTTCAATTTTTGGAAAGGAATTTGAGACTGTATTCTCTTAGATTGGTTATGAAGGCGATAAATTTGCATTAGAATTTCTAGAATCTGGGAAAGAAACATTCATTTGATGAGATGTTAATGGTGAAATTAACCTAAAGGTTTTGACAAAGAACAAACCTAGAATGTTTAACTTTTTTTTTTTTCTTTTTTAATACTGACATGACACAGAAAATAATAGTTACGAGGTCTCACGAATGCGTCTTGTATATTTTTTTTAGTTGGTATGCATTCTAGAAACAAGATATATGTACTTGACTTGTACTTGACAGATCATTAGATTCTTGATTCTTAGAAGTACATAAATGTCAGAGAATATGTGGTTCAGAGATAGAGAGAAAAAATATGGAATTAAAAAGAGATGAAGCACGTTTCGACGAGTAATGAATGTAAATATTTTTGTGTTTCATTAAAATAAAACTGTCCCAACCTAAGACATTGAGAAGAAAATTGGCAAAACTTGTTCTAATATGGGGAGTATTAATAAATAATTGAAGGAAGCTGTGGAATGGGAGCACAAGAGCAAAGTAGCCGGCAAAATGCATGCTTGTGGGCACGATGCTCATGTGACCATGCTCATTGGTGCTGCCAAGATCTTGAAGAGCCGTGAGCATCTTTTGAAGGTAAATTAGTTTAAAACCAATAATTTCTTTCACTGATTAGTCTAATTTCATGCTTAATTAATGTTGAAATTATTTTAATTTTATGCATTGTGTGTGCAACATACCGAGGAACAAAATTGCAGCCCCGTTAAAGATAGATACCTTCGTCCAAATAAAAAAAAATATAGATTTCTTTTATTTATTTATTAATTAAAAACTTTTATTTATTTAAAAGCCTCTTTACTTGGCGAAACTTTTGGCCAAATGTGGCAGATTTTTGTCTTTTACATTTACTTTGAGTTATTGCTAGGCTTGCAAAGGGGTAGGGTTGCATTAAAACCTGTGGTCAGAAACACGATTCCCGATGCCTCCTTTGAGCTCGAGGTTTTGTCATTTCCTTCCTCATTCTTCACATGTGCTGATCTTTGAATTGAAAGTTTTTTCCTCCATTTATTTTTTCTTACATTTTTCTCTTCCACCGATTATTGTATTTCCTCTCTCATTAAGGGTATTTTCCCTTCTCTTGATTTTTTTGGTTAAACTTTCACTTAATGACATCGTTTTATGGGTTTATAACTCAAGCGATTACGAGTAGTTCTCTTTGCACCCGAGGTGCCGTGTTTGTTTGTTATCAATTGTCCTTTGGAAAGTTGAAAGGTCCTCTAATTGCAGTCCATGATGAAATCATTATAATCTTCTTTCTTTTTTCTTTTTTCTTTTTACTCATGTCCGATTCTCAAGGGTCAAAAACTTTTTTCGGAAGAGTACAGATCACATGTTCATATTGTATGGACAGCGTTGATTTACAAAGGAGCAGGCAGTTAGTTTTTAAGATTCCTTGTTGAGTTGGTGTGTCCTTAAAGTTGTTTTCACTTCGATATTTTGGGTAGAACATTGTCACACATATCATGCTTGTCATGTTATAGATGTCATGCTTGTCATGTGATGTTTGAACTTTGACATATGGACACAGATTTTCTTCTATGCATATCATGGCTTAACATGTGCGCACAACCACCAAGTCCAGGTGAATTCTAGAAGTAGAAAAAATACGGAAACACTAGGCTAATTAATTATTGAACGGCAACTTGTTAATTTCTCATTAATCAACCCTTAATTATGATGCAGTAGAGGGATGGAGGCCACGGACCTCGGAAGGGGGTCGGTGTTCATACTTTGCTATACCAGATAGATTATTAAACTTTTTGTTTTTGTCTTGGAGTGTGGCTGAAGCACGTGGATCAATTAGGGTGTGCTGGTCTGATTGAGGAATCTTAAATTAACGTTATGAAATGGAATAAGAATATAATAATCCTTGTTCCTGTCTGTTGTGTGCTGGTCGTGGGTCTGGTTAATGATTTAAATGCTTAAACCGATGGCTGTCTGATGGGTCAAATTGTTGGACTAAACTTGTATCCAAACAAATTATTTCATGGAGAAAAGTATTGTTAATTAGGTATAGGATTATAGGACCACAAATATACGTGCACACTCCTTGACAAAATCGCTCGTTTGCAATCACAGGGAACAGTAATATTGTTATTTCAGCCAGCAGAGGAAGCTGGTAATGGGGCAAAGCGAATGATTGGAGATGGAGCTTTGGAGGACGTGGAGGCCATATTTGCAGCTCATGTATCCCATGAGCACCCTACAGGCATCATTGGGTCAAGGTCTGGTGCTCTGCTAGCTGGCTGTGGCTTCTTCAGAGCTGTTATCAATGGAAAGACCGGCCGCGCCGGAAACCCACACTCCTCCGTTGACCCTGTTTTAGCGGCCGCCGCGGCCGTCATCAGCTTGCAGGGCATTGTGTCCCGCGAATCCAACCCTTTGGACTCGCAGGTACATTATGCCATTTGATCTCTCTCTCTCTCTCTCTCTCTCTCTCTCTCTCTCTCCATACATGTTGCCCATTTGTACTCATCTTTTGACCACTCAGGTTGTGTCTGTTACTGCATTCAATGGAGGTGATGATCTTGGCATGATACCCAACACTGTGGTACTTGGTGGCACTCTCAGGGCTTTCTCCAACACAAGCTTCTACCGACTTCTTCAAAGAATTGAAGAGGTTTGTCATCAAACACATTCTCTCAGCCATCTGTTCTAAGTTCTAAGTCCCGACTCGTGCATAAGTGACTGTCCTTAGCATCGGTCTTAGAGATCAGATATCTTAACTAACAAATCTTGGACCATTAAACTGACAATTAATCGGGATGATCACAAACAGGTGATTGTGGAGCAGGCAAGCGTTTACAGATGCTCAGCAACAGTGGACTTCTTTAAAAACCAGAGCACCATATATCCCCCGACCGTGAACGATGACAAGATGCATGAGCACGTGAGGAAGGTGGCCATGGGTTTGCTGGGTCCAGCCAACTTCAGGGTGGTTCCACCCATGATGGGTGCTGAGGACTTCTCCTTCTACTCAGAGGTCATCCCGGCTGGCTTCTTCTATATAGGGATAAGGAATGAGACCTTGGGCTCCACACACACGGGCCACTCACCCTATTTTTTCATTGATGAAGATGTTTTGCCAATTGGGGCAGCAACTCATGCCACCATAGCTGAAAGGTACCTCAATGAGCATGGGTGAGATGAGATCACTGATGGGTGGTTTTAGTAAAACCCACGAGCTGCTGTTAGTGCAGATATGCGATTGTGGTTGTTTTCAATGGGCACAAAGCATGAAATACATAAAATGCTTTGTGTGCGCTCTTTAAATTTTGGTCTTGGGGTTTAGGGGGGCCAGTACAGGGTAAGATTTGTCCCTTTTTCTTCGTGTAAAAAGGATGTAGTAGAGCATTTTCTGGTTGTTAGTGATTAACGTTGTAAGTTGCAGACAATAATTTGATTTTAGATTTCCAAATCTAGGGTCGTCATCGTCATGATAATGAAGTGATTGTGACACCATTTGTCATATTCTCTGTCTCATGCATCATCCTAAATCACACCAACTCCACCGACATTTCACAAGCACAAAGTTTCTCCAACGTATGATAATTCATGTCACAACACCAATAAATTTCATATCAATGATATGAAAAACATTATCCAGTAAGAAAACCTTTTTCTTTTCTTTCTCCTTTTTACAGTCAAGTGTTAAAATATACGTGATTATCGGCGGTGGGGTCCACATTATACTTTAAGAGATTAAACGTATAGTTGTTCACTTGAAACATCTCTTATTCAATCACATTCTTTTACAACTCAACTTCGTTGTACTAAAACGTACAAATCAAGCTCGAGAAGAAAGCTTCCATGGTTTTCCTGAATAAACAATCATCTAGTTTACAAGACTCACCTCTTCTCACCGCACAAACTTCTGGCAGCTTGCAGGGCAAAATATGTAAGGATTACGTCGGCTCCAGCCCTTCGTAGACACATAAGGGATTCCATCATAACCTTTTCTTCATCAATCATTTTGAGAACCCCACCAGCCTTGATCATTGAATACTCGCCCGAAACCTGCATTGTGATTTTGCAGACAAGGGCCCAGGAAGTTAAGGTGGCAGGAATGGAGATTCTAGTTAAACAACCAATAACACACTATAGGAAACAATAACATTTGTAACACCCGCTAAAACCTTTACCATACTCTTGTCGAGCGTATAGCTTCAAGTAAAATGTGGTTTCAAAGCTTAATATGGGATAAGGAGAGAATAAACTTTCTGTTCTCGAATGAAACAATGAAATGAGGAGGTCGTTCATGAAAAGATTCACCTGATATGCAGCTATTGGTAAAGGAGAGCTATCCCGGAGTAATCTTATGATGTCCAAATATGGTAGACCAGGCTTCACCTGTGAACCATCGCATAATTTTAGAACTAGAGTCTCTGCCATTAAGTAAATATGGACAAATATACAAAGAAAGCGATACTAACCAAGAGGATATCAGCTCCTTCAGACTCGTCTTCACGTGCCTCAATCAGAGCCTCTCTGTAATTTGCTGGGTTCATCTGATAACTTTTGTTTTTCAAGCCAGATTTATATGCCAAGTCAGCACCAGCCACATTACATAAATGAAATTAGCATAAGGTTGAACTTCGATGAACTACATACGTTTTTTTGTCACCAAAACGTGGATTCGAGTCCAATGCTTCTCGGAATGGACCATAAAATGAACTTGCATACCTGTTTGCAACATAGTAGAGATCAGCATGTTAAAACAGCAAAAAAGACTGAGTTATACCAATCCACCACCGCTATCCAACTCACTGAAATTTTTTGTGACATGTACACTCAATGACAGAAAGAACATTAAATGCAAGTATAAATCTCAGCAAATGCAGCTTGATAAAGTTTATGTAAGAAATGACCAAAAGTGTATATCTGGGTAAGGGATCTTAAAGAATAATGAAACAGCAAAAGAAGAAAAAAAAATTGTAATGACAAGATCAAATTACTTTGCCGTATAGGACATGATAGATACATGCTGAAAACCTTCAGCATCAAGAGCAGTTCGAATAGCTCCCACACGACCATCCATCATGTCACTGGGACTGACAACATCTGCTCCAGCTCGGGCCTGATGATAGAAGTAAACACGCCAAACAGTAGGTTACTGATATATTTACATTTCATATGGTTACAATTTTGAAATTACTTATGACTTAATCTTCCATGATTACCTGGGCAACAGCTTGCTTACATAATTGATGTACTGTCTCATCATTCAGTATAACTCCTACAGCATCAGGAATAAGTATTGCAATTAATAACACAATGTATGTATCCATGGAAAATAACCTCTTCTAGAAAGAGCATTTCTCATGGCATATTTGCCTTACCATCTTCTCTAACAATACCGTCATGCCCATCGGAGGAGTATGGATCTAAAGCAACATCGGTGTAGATAACCTGATGACCTCAACAATATTAACAAAATGAATTTCTTCCATGCATATATAATGCATAAAGCCAATTTGACTTGAAAGCCTAAACAAAGTACATAGACTTACAAGATCAGGGTATTTGTCCTTGAGCAACCTTATTGCTCGAGGCACTAAACCATTATCGTTGTAGGCTTCATCACCTGTTGAATTCTAACAGGCAAAACCAATCCAATTATATTACATCACTCTACAAAGTAGTTACCCTACAGAATAGTCGAGCAAAAGCACAAGAGTAAAACCTTCAAAGCATCCGGAACTTTGGGGAAGAGCACAATGCCATTGACACCAACATCTCGAGCCTTTGAAACCTGCTCCACACGAGGCTTACTCAGAAACGGTGATTCCAAAAACCAATGAAATTATCATCTTTTGAAAATGCCCGATACTAACATTCACATTAAGCCATCCACTTAGCAAGAAGCTTAAACAGAACAACAAGATTAGTTCTACCGAGATAGAGCTAAGCTACTTCACCTCTTCCACAAGCCCATGTCTCCATCCAAGCCTATAACATCCAGGCATAGCTCCAATAGGCGTGTCTTCTTGACCTGCAAAAAATTGCACGCCATGTAAAATTTGCAGAGGTCTAAGCATGAACGCATAGTAAAATCACCAGCAAGCACCAACCTTCATGAATAAAAAGTGGGTACACAAAATTCGCAGGTGACAAGCTTGTTTCCTGAAACGCCGACCTCAGAGCAGGCGACCTTCGGTTACGACGAGGTCTGCGATTGATCGGCTGATATTCAAAACCAAACCCATCAAAACCCACAACCGAAATTTCACATTTTTTTTCAAATATGAAAATATAGAAAAAAGGTCTTAAGCTACAAAACGAAACCCATCAAAAACCCAAACCCAAATTCCGAATTGTGAACACGAAAATAGAGAAAAGGTTTGAACTTTTATTAAGCTACTCACCAGCAAAGGCACCACTGGAGTTCCCGCTGGGGCGGCGGGTTTAGGAGGCGCCGGCGGCGCATGCGGCGCGTTTCCGGCGACGACGGCGGCCTCGCACTCGGCGTCACTCAGTCGGGTCTTCCCGATGGGCCCATCGCCGTCGCTGGCTCTTACGGTGAAGAGGCGCTGCGGGCGGGTCTTGATCTGGATCCTACCCGAATTCAGCTTCAGAGGTTTTGCGGGTCTGAGACCGACGTAATCCAGACCCTGGATGGGTCCCACGTTAACAATTGTTGACGCCATATGAGCTGGAGAGTGTCTTGTCTGCTTGGTTTGGTTGCTAAGAAGAAAGCACCAGTCTTAAAATGCCGTACAAATTTTTGTTGATAATTCAGACATGAAATTTGAAAATCTTACCGTAGAAGGGAAGAAGTTGGTGAAGCCAATCAGAAGAGGGGCCGTAGGAGAGAAATGGCTAATGACGCTGACAGAGGATCCCCTCATCAATCCATTATCTTCAATCCTATAATTTAAGTTGGACCAGTTTAGGTGTATAGAGTAGAGTAGCCACAGTGATGAAATCTTTGGGTGCATTTAGAAGTTATGAGGTCAATATGTTGTTGGGCCTATTGGAACTATACCCCAAATGATTGGGTGGCACATAATGGACCCAGCTTCAATTGGTTCAAGGGTGTTCATCAATATGGAACTTTAGGTGTACCGTGTAAATAGTAGCCGGGTGCAGTGACTAACTACGCCTATTGGAATTACATGGAGACTATAATGAGGGATTGTAGTTAGGGGTCTTTAATAGATGTCTGATCAAGTGCTGAGTTATTATTGAACTGTTGGATTGAACTCCCTCATTATAACCTCTAAACGTAGCCCCTCACTATAGAAGCTCCCATTGGAACTATGAGTACCCCAAATGAATGGGTGGCACATAATAGACCCAACTTCAATCGGTTACGTTGTTCATCACGAATCTCTCACGTCAGCAAACATGTAAAGAGAGAGATAGAGACAATGTTTTATACAACACATTGCCCGGGAGTTCCTTCCAGATGAAGACTACAAGTGCAACGTCACCCAACTAATAATCATATGAAATTTGCATGTGACACCTTAATGTTATGTCGATGTGACTTTGACGGTGGCTAATGAAAGATTGAACTAGAAAATGAGAAGGACCTATACAAATAACTCAAGAAATTAAGAATGTCCTGTCTAAATACCAACTAGCTATTTGTTTAGTGATATTACTCTCTACTTGAGATTCTTATCTTCTTTAGTTTCGAGTGCACAAAACAAGGTGGTTTGTAAATTATATTTTAGACAGAAACATTATTTTCGTTGTGGTCCAAAACAAGAAAAACAACATGCAAATGTGTTTTGAAGTGTGCTCTTCTCAGCCAGCTTCTGCTATTTTTCTATGGCTACCGACGGCGATGGAGCGTATGGTAACTAAAGATGAATATTGCACATAAGATTTTCAATGAGCTGGAGGAGGTGGGGACCACATACCATGGGAAGAAATAACGCAGAAATGAGCATTGAAGAAGTTTTGTCAAACTTTTGCCAAGCGTGAAATCTTTTGTAGGATCATGCGTAACTTGGTAAAGCATATACTTTGTCTACACACAAAAAGAAATCTGATTTGAAATAAAGCCAGTCGCCCGCATTCCGCAATAGCTGGTTTTTTTTTTCCCTCTAGAAGCACATTTGATAAATGGCTCAACGACTCGAGCATGGAAATTGACAATTTAACAACTTAACACGTTAATTAATAAACGAAGACAAGGAATTTTTATTTGTTATTATTTTACGGGTTTGACTGAGAACCAAGACAAGAGTGGATCCAAGTTAAAGTTGTAAAATAATAATTTGCAATATCAATAGAAAAGTAAAAAATTGTGTGGACCCAGAAGCAAGATGTAGTGAAATCTCTTACATGATTTGAGTATGACCTGATTAAGAAAAGCTTGGAAAGATGGTCAAGAAAGATATTCTCAATTTCTAATGAGAACAGATCCCACATCGCTGCCTCTTTAGTCAAAGCAGCTGGAAACACATGTACAGTAGAGTGCTTTATAAACAGCAAGTCCACAATCAATTTGGATGACTAATTTTCCAAGGTGTAACAGAAAAAAGATGGCCAACAAACACGCTTTTCTTTTCTTCCTGTTTTTTTATACATATATTTATTGCATTAAAAGATTGTGGGATTTAGAATGGTTAATTTCCAAGATATGTATGGCTGGATGGAATATTGCTTTTTTTTTGGTTTTGTGGAAATTTCAAATGCACAAGTTATTGGGTATTTGATCATGGATTCAAATTTTCAAAAGCGAAAACAGAAGTACCTCTGCAATTAGATTTCCTAGATTTTGGATAGATCGTGGTAGTACATTTGGATAGATCGTGGACGTCTGCAATTGATTGACTACTAGTAATTTCCATGCACTTGGGTTTCTTCTACCATGGGTTGTGCAAAGATTAGAGTATTCATTCTAAAATCAATTCGTAATAAATATGCAGATTCAAGAAATTATATTTCGGTTTAGAATTTTCGATGTGAGATTGTGTTTTGAATAGACAAAAGAAAGACATAGTACTAGAGGATGAGATTTTCATCGAAAAATTCTTTTGTCCTTTGTGTCGTCATACCGCATGAATTGTCTGACAAAGTAAAAATCTCAGTATTTTTTGGTGTCATACTAATCCTACCCCTACGAGAGTGATATCGTACCCAAAACTCCTCCATTTTCACGACCAACATAACATGTTCACTAGTTTGGTGAATATGCAATGGATCTAGCGACATAGATGAATGAGTGAAGACCAGGTCAAGTGGGTGTCTTAATTTGTTCACAAGGGCTAGCTGACTAGCTAGTAACTAAGATATAAAGATAAGATTTTCTTGATATTTTTTGGGAGTGAATTAGGTCAATTGATTCAGTGCTTTTCACTGTGGGAAACGTATGATAAGGGTAACAGATAGAGAGACCAGCACTAGGGACTTGGCAGACAAGAATGAGGGACCTACAGTCAAGTGTGAAAAAGTTTGAACAATCTCAGAGGAGCATTTCACAGAGAAAAAAATTAAAGAAAAGAAAAACTTTCTGCTTTGGACACCCTCGATGGAAACAGATTCGAAATTTGGAAGACAAGGGAAATTTGGACCCCACAAAAGATTATATTTGCAGGCCCACATAAGATCTTCAAAATTTTCTCTGTGGACCCCTACCATAAAACTTTCTTTAATTTCATGTCTTGGCCCCCCTCTCTCTCTCTCTCTCTCTCTCTCTGCCCTCTGGTTTATTGCTCAAGAAGATTCATAATTCCACTCGATGCCTCTATTTGAGCCTCAAGGAGCTAAGCAAAGCTTGTGTTTACATTGTCATACCTGCCAATTCAAATTGCTAATTGCATATTTGAAAATTTAAAAATATAATTTGAGTTATAAAACAAACTCGCATGTTGAATATTAATTTTACACATCTTTTTTTTCTATATTGTCTTTAAATTTGAGTCTCGAGTGTGTAAAAAAAAAATGTAATTTGTTAGATGAAACTGAAGAGAAAATGTAAATTTTCACCAAGAAAAAAGAAGAGAAAATGTAAATAATCTTAATTACCCTAATTTCTAATTTAACTTGTTTTTTTTGCATGAATAATCCTTGAAAGGGAACCTAAAAACTGAATGATTCTGATTATTGAATTACATCCGAGAAATAGAATATCCTTATTTTACTTCAAAAAGCCTCGCCTCACCATGCTACTATTTGACAAGATAACATTAGTTATTTTATATAGATTAGGCCATGAATCACACATCCTACATTCCTAACCAAAGTCCTAGGCATGCAAGTAGCATGGATGATGAGTCTCTTGTTCGTTTGAAAAAATAATAATAAAAATAGAACAACACTTCCCACGCATTTAATTAAGAAGTAGAAAAAGAAAAACCTTCAACCCAAATTTAGCAACGAAGCTAACCACTTCTGTCTTAGTCCGTTTTACACCCAAAATCAACTCCTTTTCATCATCATCATGACCAAATGGGTAAAAAGATCTCCGGATTTTCCTTTGCAATCAAACAAAATCCAAAGAAAGAAAAAAAAAAAGGGGAGAAAGAGAGAGAGAGAGAGAGAGATATGAGTGGTTGTACCAACGCGGTGGAGAGAATCTAGTGAGAGATCACAACAAGAGTGATGAGAAAACAACACATGACACAATAAAAACATCTCTCTCTCTCTCTCTCTCTCTTGCAAACCAGTTTTGCTTTTCTCTTCTCTTCTCATATATACACCCACCTAATTACTCAGTACACCTTACGCCTAAAGAATAATCACAGGCCACCTCTCATTCATTTCCCCTCAGGCACGCCTCTCTCCCTCTCTCTTTCTCTCTCTCTCTCTCTCTCTCTCTCTCTCTCTCAAGAGAATATAAAAGGTGTACATTTGCATACAAAGAACTAATATACAGGAGCAGCCAAAGAGTATTGTGTGTTAACATCAGCCATTGAAATTCAAAAGGGTCAATTTTCATGTCATCAGTGAGCCTGGAAATGGAGTTGATGAAGCCAGATGTTGCAGACTCCGAACCCCAACAACAACAACAACAACAACAAGAGCAACAAGAAGAAGAACAACATTTCCATGTCTTGGCTGTGGATGATAGTCTTTTGGACAGGAAGCTCTTGGAGAGGCTCCTTAGAGGTTCTTCATATCAAGGTATATATATATATATATATCCTCCCATATGAAGATCCATAGAGATAATCTAATTTTAATTTAATATAATTTTAAATTTTTTAAAAAAACTTGGATTTATTATCCAACATTGCATGTGATTGTTTCCCTCCCCTTGATTCCTTTTTAAGAAAAAAAAAACAAATGCGCTTTGTGTATTTTGTTAATTAGTATATATTTATTTATTATTTTTTTTCTAAATAAAAAGCTGGTTTTCTGTTTAAGTTTCGTACTTATAATTATCTGTTTGTATTTTTATTTTTGTGGTAGCAGTGACTTGTGTGGAGTCTGGGGATGAAGCTCTTAAATATCTGGGTTTGGTTGATGACCAAAACCAAAATTCTACAGCTTCCTCATCATCTACTTCCCCCCACTCATCACAAGTACTAGAGGTGAGAGATTATAATGATTACATAACAAGAGTTTTTATATAAAAATTAATTAAAATATGTGCATGCAGCAGGCTAGCATTGTCCACAATATTTTCAATATTAAATTAATTAATCAAGTACCTTCCTTGATAATGAATTATTTTCGAAATTGCATTGATTTTTATGGATAATATTCATCTTACAACAGGTTCTTACATTTGATTTGCTTAGATTTGATGAAACAACAAATGGCATGTGAATTACTTCATGGTTTCTCTGTCTCTCTCTCTCCTTAAACATGGATATAACATACTAAATTCTGAATATTCAATCAAATGCAGGGATCAAAAGTCATCAATTTGATCATGACAGACTACTGTATGCCCGGGATGAGCGGCTATGATTTGCTGAAACGGGTCAAGGTTAGCCACCACTTCATAATTAATCGCCACACATTCTTCTACTGTTTTGAATTTTTAGTGAGTCTAGAACCCGACTCTAGCATTATACCATTTGACCAAAATATTAACGTGATCCTTTCGTAGACCCGTCACTCACGACATTAGTCTAATTTAATTGCAATAGTTGATTCCAAATCGACCTACGTGTAATCGCCACATGTCGTAGTCACGAGACTTGTAATTTAATTGCAGGGATCTTCTTGGAAAAACGTACCAGTCGTGGTCATGTCATCAGAGAATGTTCCTTCGAGAATCAGCATGTAAGTAGGGAATTAATTAATTTACGTACTTGGTAATTTCTTTTGCAAACCCCGCAACTTCATCTTCAAAAATGTGAGTGGCAGGTGCTTGGAAGGAGGGGCTGAGGAGTTTCTTTTGAAGCCACTTCAGCTATCCGATTTGAAGAAGCTTCAACCTTACCTGCTCAAATCTCTCGAACATCATTCTTGTAACGACAACAACAACAATGTTGTACTAAATGAGGTCGGTGGCGTTGACCCCGTTGACCAAATCAAAAGCACTACTTGTGAGAATACTGTTAAGGGCAACAACAACAGCAATGTTATTATTAGCAAGAGGAAGGCAGTGGTGGCTGCTCAAACAATATCAGAGAGAAGGCCCAAGATGGAGGGGTTAGCTCTGGTAGTATAAGATTAGTATACAAATATTTTACTGGGGTGATTAATTATTAAATATTACCATAATCACATCCTTAATTATATTCATATTTCATATATGTATGTACGTATGTACGTATGTACCTGTTTGGTGCTATTGGTTTGGTGGTGTCTTTTACTTGAATAGTATTATCCATTGATCCAATTTTAAGCCAAGGATTAACAGTCTATCTATTTTTTATCCAATTGATGTATGCCTTACAATAATCTTCCACGAATAAACAAGAAAAACTAAAACAAAGAAAAGAATCAATTATGCCTACATGACCAATAACCTTGTCAATAATAACCTTGTCAATAACCTTGTCAATGGAGGCTGTGGATACTTGGAGTTGAAGAAAGCTTGGTCTTGAGGACAAAAGAGGGTAAAAGTGGTGTTGGCGTGGTTCAGGGATTGTATTGCGGGCATGATCACGGACTCAAGAATCATGTCTAGGGTTAGTGACATGGCATGATAGCCCTTGTCAGAGAGTACGGCTGAGGGTTTGGGTTGCTGTGTTTGCTCGACAGCTTGACTGGTACTAATAACAAAGAGACTTGAAGAGAGAAGAAGAAAACAGATTGAAAACTTGATGGAAGCCATAGGAGAAGAGAAAGCAAATGCAAAGCAAAGCTATGTGTAATTGCAAGGGATTTTGGTGTGAATCGAAAGGCTGAGGCTAAGCACATATATATACTGATAGCCAGTTTCCAAATCCTACCATGTTTCTAATTGGTTTCCAAATCCTACCGTGTTTCTAATTGGTTTCCAAATCCCTTTAGGATTCCTTATTCTTTTCCGATAAATATTTACCAAAATGTAAGAAATTATTGTAAACCGAATGGGCCTAATGAGTTTTTTACCCTTGTTTTGGGCCGAATTAATAGCAGTCTTGGATAACAAGCAATTAAAATTCATCACTATACCCAAACCGCATAAAACATAATTAAGGGCATCTGACTCTCTCAAAATGCAGAAGATTAGAGATAATTACACTTAAATCATAATTGCAAAGAGATAATTAACATCCAACTAGCTGCCTCGATGTCTGTGTTCTCCATTATAGGGCCTAACCCCTCCTGCTCAAAGTAAGAACAATCGCTATATTTAAACTCTTAAACAAAACCATCATGTGAAATAAAACTATATGCTTCAGAAAATTTGTTGCACTGTTTACCTTTTTAGAGCTCATCTTTGCCGGAATCTTGTTTCTCCGACCCTTGTTTCTCAGTTTTGTCCCGGTTCTTTTCGATGAAGGCAGTGAAGCTTTCCTTAGTCCTCTCATCCTCATCAAATGGCAAGATCTTTCCACTTGCTGTCTTGAAGTACAAAGTCGGGTAGTATTTGACATCGAAATCACTTGGCACATCATTTGCAGTGGCATACTGGAAAAAGAAAGCAAGAAATGAATTAACCATCAAGAAATATCTACTTTCAAATGTTTATGTAGATGTAAGAAAATATATTCGCAGAGACGAAAAGAAAGAATAACAGGAGATAATTAGGAAAACATTTTCGATAGAATCTCATTCGGGCACTTTGAGGGAAGAACAGTACTCATAATCATATATGAAAGAATTTGGTAGAACCAAATTTAAAAAGATAAAAAAACATAACTACTGATAGATAGGGATGAGGAGGGATATATATGGGGGGAGGTACCGTCGGACATTGCTTTTATGCTCTCCTCTATCATTTCTCAAAGTCAGAGTTTTATCTCAGCCGCCATAACATCCAACTAGCTGCCTCGATGTCTGTGTTCTCCATTGTAGGGCCTACCCCTCCTGCTCAAAGTAAGAACAATCGCTATATTTAAACTCTTAAACAAAACCATCATATGAAATAAAACTATGCTTCAGAAAATTTGTTGCACTGTTTACCTTTTTAGAGCTCATCTTTGCCGGAATCTTGTTTCTCTGACCCTTGTTTCTCAGTTTTGTCCCGGTTCTTTTCGATGAAGGCAGCGAAGCTTTCCTTAGTCCTCTCATCCTCATCAAATGGCAAGATCTTTCCACTTGCGGTCTTGAAGTACAAAGTCGGGTAGTATTTGACATCGAAATCACTTGGCACATCATTTGCAGTGGCATCCTGGAAAAAGAAAGCAAGAAATGAATTAACCATCAAGAAATATCTTCTTTCAAATGTTTATGTAGATGTAAGAAAATATATTCGCAGAGACGAAAAAGAAACAATAACAGGAGATAATTAGGAAAACATTTTCGATAGAATCTCATTCGGGCAATTTGAGGGAAGAACAGTACTCATAATCATATATGAAAGAATTTGGTAGAACCCATCTTTCGTTCTCCATGTTCATAATGATGATTATAAGAAATGCTGCTTTGCAGGGTAAAGAATCTTACAAATTTTGCAATAACAACATCAGAATCTTTTTCGTATGAGACAGCAAGTTCATCCAAAATTGGAGCAAGCTTCTTGCAATGTCCACACCAAGGAGCATAAAACTCGACCAACACTGCAGAGTAAACAAGTTCATTTTATACATATTTCTAGCATTCCCATACAGTAACCATGTGAAGACAACAGTGGCAGATATTAAATAGACACTAATTAAAATATGTATCAAGTTTCAGTTTCTTCTGGAATAAGTCAAAGACATTAACAAACCACAACCTTATTCTATTTTATCGGATAGGAAAATCTATGAAAAACGAAAAATAAATAAACAATAAAAGAGGGAGATAACATGTTCAACCATTTATGGAGCCAGGAAGAATGCAAGGTGTAATAAACTCCCAAGAAACTTTTGGCTATTTTATCAGACCATAAATTACCACATAATAAAACTTTCAAGCCACTGAGCATAATTAAATGTTGTTAAAATCAGAAAACTCCATCATTTTTTGTGTTGTTCTCCTCAAGGTAATTGTCTCTCAGAGGTAGTAATGTAGTCAATCAAGAAAATCATATAATAAACAGATAACCCAGAGAAATACTAACAAGAAACAAGACCCAAAAAACAAAAAAGGGCACACTACACAACATTCAGCACCACAGTGTGGGTTTACAAACCATTTTTCCCAGACTTGAGAACAACGTCCTGGATGCTGTCAGCGACTACCACTTTTACAGGCTCATTGTTAGGCTCAGGAATAGGTTCAGACTTCTTGTATGGTGATACTTTCCCTTCCTGCAGTTATGCGATTCAGTAAATAGGTATCAACGGATATAAGCTTTAATGAACCTTTACTCGAGTCAGCATATAAAAAATTAGTGATTATCATAATATCACTTGCAGGCCAAGTAATGGCAAGAAAAAAGCAGAATCCTCACCTTGTATTCCTGCACCCAAGCTATGATATGATCTGGCTCCACATTTGGTTTCAGAAACTTCTGTCCGTCATTTGTCTGAATGATGATGAGAGGCACTTGGTCTTCTTTAAGTCCAAAATACTGTTTATAAAAACCAATAGATTAACATGCCATTTAATCCATATCACAAAAATACTCTGAAAACATGAATAGAATTGCAAAGTGTACATAATCTCAATACAATATCACAAACAAAAGGCTTACTAAGGGAGATAATCCTAACCTGGAATGCACCTTGACTTGCTTCAAGATCTCCAATTAGAAAGCTTATGCCTTCTTTATTATATTTCTCAGCAACTTCACGATATTTTGATTTGAAAGCATCAACACCCTCACTACTGAAGTTCAGAAACAACAAGGCCTGCCAAGTTCAAAATTGGTGTTAGAAGACTGTCCATCCAATATATTAGAAATAGAAGGAAGAGAAAAAAAAAAACACTACAAAACTGTCCAAAAAACATGAGAGATAAAAAATAAAATATTTTAAAAAAACACCACTGTCAAGTGTGGGATCCTTATAGTGCACAACTAAGAGATTCATAACATAAACAACTTCAAATTACGAGCAGATTCAAAGATGAAACTGTAAATTGAAACCAGATGCAAATAATGTCACAGGACAACGTCAAATTTAGGCTTCAAGATTTTGTTTTTCCCTAACAGAAATCATTTAATAGGAAACACAAACATCAAAGACAATGTTAGACTCTCTGTAAAAATAAGAATTAAACTCGGGGGACCTTGAAAGAAACATCTTAATAAGTTACAGAAAAACATAAATAAATCTGCATCATCATAAGAAAAATAAATAAATAAATCTGCATCATCATATTAAGAAAATAAATCCAGCTCAGGATATACCTTCTCATTTGGATTATTAAAAAACTTGATGACAAAAGGGTGATTGCTTGGGTCATTGTTGAATTCGGTAATAACAGGCAAACTAGATTCTTCAACGAACTTCTCTAGAGCGTCCACATGAAAATCCTGCAAGCATGATTACCCAATTATTACATATACTGCCCATAATACCTCAAAAGCTGTAAAACAAACTGAAATCTAATAATCACTCAGAGCCAACAATACCTCAAAATCAACAAAAAGCTCATCAAATGGCTTGAACAGTCTAACTACAGGCCCAGACACTGATGATTCACCACGTGGAAGGAGCTTGGCATCCAGAGTGTGACCAAATTCATAATCAGACCGCAATTTCTCAGCTAGAGCTGTGAAGTTATTAAACTCCTCTCCAGAGAACTTCTTGAACACCCCAACCTGCAAAGATATGAAATATCGGTAACTCTATCAGCCTGAAAACACTCAAAAGATTAAATAAAATAAATAAAATCAGGAGAAAAAAAAACAAACAGATATTTAATACTTACAACAACAATCTTCTTGTCGCCAACAAGATTAGTTGCATCTTCAACAGTCTTTAATTCAGCAGAAGCTGGACCACTTTGTTTCTTCAAATAATCAACAATACCATCGGCTTCACGAGGGCCCTTGTATTCTTGGATAATCTTCCCACCATTTCTCAGAATCTTGATTGTGGGGAAACCCTTAACCTCGTATTCAGAGGCAAGTCCTTTGTTTGCTTCTTCATTGGCATCAACTTTTGCTAGAACGACTGGTGGGTCATTGCTACTCAAAATGGATGCAGCTTTTTCATACTACACCAACATAATTGTTTTTTAAATGTCAGATTAATCAGAATATACGTAGTTTCTCAATTAAAATGCAAAATTGGTGAGAAATTAATATTTAATAGCTGAATTTCGTACCTCCGGAGCAAGTTTCTTGCAGTGGCCACACCTATAAGAAAACATAGTCAAAATTAGGACAACCTATCCACAAAGTATAGAAACAAAGAAACCCAAAAGCAAATCACGATCTCCTATCTTCAGCACAGATGAGAACTTTCCACATGCATGTTACTCTGATCATATTAGTTCAGTAAAAAATTTACGAAAAATAAGAAACAAAACGCTAAATCGTGCATTTAGCAATCATTTTATAACCGACAAGTGATATTAGGGCATTTTCAACCACTGCATGTAGATGCAGCAAGCTCTGAAAATTACCAGCTGGAACTTGAATTCAGAAACATGACTGTAAATTCCAACCTCAGTATCAAATCAAAAATTCTACCTCAAAAATAAATTTTGAAAAAAAAAAAGACCAGAAAATGAATTAAGCCAATTTCAGATCCACTCACAAAAGGCCAAACACAACTAAGCAAAACCAGAGCAACGAAGATCGGCAAAAGTAAACAGAATCAACGGCGATAAGAGAGCGAGAGATGCGAATTACATACCAAGGGGCGTAGAACTCGACGACGACGAAGTCGTGCTTGCTCACAGTGTCGGAGAAGTTGGAGCTGTCCAAAGTGAGCACGAACTCCTTCGATTCAGCCTCTTCGGCGCGGATCGTGGTGAGGCACAGAGCGAGGAACAAGCAGAAGCAGAGCGAAACCCTAGACGACGCCATTTCCGTTTGCTCTGTGAATGCTGTTTTGGTCTATGGAGGTCTCTGAGAGTCACTCTATGGCTGGAAAGAGGGGAGTTTTATGGGCTAGGAGGAGAAAGATAGCGTGAGATCGGGTTAGAGAGAGAACGAGACAAACATGGTAGTCACACGTGACAGTCTCTCGGGCTAATTTCCATTTCCGTCCTCGCGCGAGTATGTATTTTGTTCGTATTCGCTCTACATGTCGGTCAATGTACACGTGGGTGTGGTTTATTGGTTGGGCATTGTCACAGGGCTGCTAATTTGGAATGTGGCGCGCAAATTGGGCAAGTAAACTCCGCCCTTAATCTTTGTTTGGTATGGTCATAAATGGGTTTGTACCGGATTAGGTTGTCCAATCAAAATACGACACGTCATAGAGTGAGAGATTAGTTTGACGTCTTGACTATTGATTCTGTGGGCTATTTCGCATAGGATTCGAAAATGGTTTTTTTATTATTAACAAACAAGAGGGTTAATACATTATTTCCTCTTAAAATCCCAGAAAGAAAAAAGGAAAAAACGGCTTCAAAATTGTAATCGGTATTAAAATAGGAAATAAAATAAAACGGGCATTAAATTGAGAAATTCAAGAGTAACTTCCAAAGAAAAAAAATCTGAAAATTTATGAAAATAATGTATTGCTCAATATCAAAAAAGAAAACAAAAATCTCACTTTAAGTTAAAATTTATTTTTTAGAATATTAGAAGAAAACGTATTGGATGTTGCACTTTTCATTTTCAATAGGTTGGCTTGGCCCCATGGCCCGTGACTAGTACTACAAGCATTCCTTTCCTGCACGCTGCTGGACTTTTCTGTTTTTTTTTAAACTCGGAAAAGTCTCTTCAATTTGGCTTTGGCATTTTACAGAGAAGAAAATTGGATGGTGGTGACTGGTTTGCAGCATTCATTCAATTCAATTACAAATTACAAGTAATGGTCAGAGATTTTTAGGTTAACAGAAAGTCCAAGTCCACATCACAATCCACAGTTCTAAGTTTAACACTCAGACCTGAAAGCTCCATGCATGCTCAGATCAGATCCCCAAGTTAAGTTCACAACTACAAAAGGCATTATCCATTCTGACTGTTGATGCATTGCAATAGTCAGTCCACGGATAAGCAATATCCGACCGGTTGATGCATGTGAAGCTCACAACGCATCAAGGGCCTGGATTCAACGGAGGACGTAGAGCGTAGCATTCTTCTAAGACATCAACCAACCAAGAATGAAACAGAAACCACTTTAATAATGGAATAGCTCATTCAAAATTTTTAGTTTGTTTACTACAAAACTAGACCAAGCTGACATCCCCCTCATCCACACATTCCAATAACAGACAAATACAACCACCCGAAAACCAATAAATGAATTCCTGTACAAATTTGCCAATCTGTTAGAGGGGTTGTGCAGACCTAGTTATCAAGTCAAGATGAGATATATTCATCAACTTCCAGGCAAACAAGGGATCAGCTCTACAAAGCAATTCTAATATCCCATGTTTCCTTTTTTCTCTGTCATGCCTAAAAATTCACTTATAAAGTTCCCTTTTCTTCTTCTGCTAATCTACCATTTCTAAATGTATGCAAATCTCAAACAACGACTGTACATATACAGAACGGCTAGCTACTTCACAGATCACACGTCCAACTTGTATGCATAAGATTATACATTTACTATGAGCCTCCGGCATCTTGAAGTCTGACTTGCTCATGAACTTTCAAAGCCTCTGAAGTGAAATTATTCAAGGTTTCAAAAATTGGGACCAATCCTGCTTGCAAACTGTTGGAAGCTGCGTGATTAACCAATTTGATTGCCTCCTTATGCCTTGCTTTTTCCTCAGATAATCTCTTCCTCATCAAATCCAAATCCACCTTTAGATCATCCAGTGGTGAAACTCCACTCTCAGAAGCAGCCTTTGACATAGCAGTTTTGTCTGTTGATGCATCATGGTCATGCTCTCTCTTTGCCCTCTCCATACGCAATTTTCTAAGTTGGCTCTCCAAATTCTTGGAGACGTACTCGGCTTTGATCCTTTGACGTTGCTCCTCATCCTGCCTTTCCCATAACTGGTGCAAGGTTGAAGCAAAATCATGCATCGCATCTGCCACTCCCTTTTCGGAAATTCTTTCCATTGCTTGGCACCAATCATTGCAGACTACAAAAATGGGTGGAGCTCCCATCCTGCTTGGGGAGAAAGGGGCAACTCCGTCAGGAGTTACTTCAGGTTCCTGATTAATGCACTTTAAAAGCCACCCATTTAAGGACTCCACATATGATTTTTGGGTGTTAACCCAATTGTTAAAGGAGGTACACCATTTCAGAAGCTCCATTTCAAGTTCAAGAGTAGCTTTCAAACCGGAATCTCTTCGAAGGCCGGTATTTACTTTAAGAGATCGAATTTTGCTCTCCATAATAGATTGGAACTGTTTCTGGTGGCATTTAAGCATGGATTTCCACATTCTTGTCAATCTGCAGATAAAAAGACATTCCTAATATCAAGAAAAGAACCCTGGGAAATTAAGAAATCCTTTTAGAACTTTCAACATATAAATTCAATGGGTCGTTCTTGAACTCCCCCTGACAAACCCCCCTTTTTTAGAAAAATTTATCACACAAAAGCTATGGAGAACAAGACCAGCGTGAAGTCCCGGCAAGTTTTAGGTATACCATCATCCAATACTAATTATGAACCACTGCAAATATTACTGGGAACCAAAGTAATGAGCATTTAGTAAAAGAAGTTGAAGCATTTTGTTACCCATGAATCAATTCCGTGACTTGGGGAAGCAATTCTTCATCCCTCAATTTATGTATCCTGCTCGATATGGTATCAACAGCTCTGATACAAACATTAATTTTTGTTAGCAACTTTCGTACAGAAGCCTGGGTGGCATCAATCTTAGCAGACTCAGCTCCATGATCATCTAGACTTTTCAATCTCTTGCACTTCTTTTCATAGTCAACCCGTAGCTTTTCTTCGTCCTGAAATTAGTACAACACCAATACATAAACAAAGGTCAATAGAAGCAAGCACCAAGGCACTTGAAGAATTAACAATTTGAATGGATGCCAATAGAAAAAAAAATTGAGAGTCAGAATGCCCAAATTATATAAAGGAAATGTCAAGACAAACATATATAGACTCGGTAAGAATTCAAATAAAGTGCAAATATAAAGGAATTTAAAGATTTCTAACAACACTATAAAATTCGAAGTTCAGGTTCTCAATGGGTGAATGCATTCTAGTTGTTAAATCAGAGAATATCAACTAGTCCATTGCCACCTGCTACAATGAAACTACTTGATGACAATCTGGGACTATCAAGGATTTAAGTATCATCATAGAAGAAAAAATAAGTTGCATGCCATCCATGATTTTTTTACACTTTTTACCTTAACTTCCTTGTATAACTTTTTCTCCCATGCATAAAGTTTCTCCAAAGTTGATGAGAGGTTTCCAGACTTCTTGTTGAAATCTTTGCCAGGTTCTCCCTGGTATGCTTTTGCCATTTTCATTGTCTTGGAAGTTAGTCTTACTGATTGCCCAGATGGAGGTTGTGACGACAACATGGAAGGTGCTACAAGGTACAGGATCCTGGAAAAGATCACTGCATAGAGATGCATGAGTTTTAATGAAACAGTAAGAACAATGCTTCTTTCAAGATCACAATAAAGAATCACTAGACAATAATAGGATTTGATTATTGATCCCACAAGTATTGTCCAGCTGAAACAATGAGATTAATATTTTATATTTCAAACTAATATTCAGATTAAATTGGACTTGGTTTAACTTTTCGGTTTAGGATTTAGTGTTCAATGAGAAGCTGAAACTGCAAAAAAATAGAGAAATCTAATCATCTGAGGGATGATATTTTACAGACTTGCTAGTTTTCGTCCCTCTCTATCTATAATCAACACATTTAATAATAAAATAAATAAATAACAACCATCACACTATAAGCTCTGAGGACGCACAAAGACATCTGAAGCAGAGTAGTTACAAATTCAAGCTTGGGAGAAATTATGCCCTGGTTACAATGAATCTGGCGCAGTGCAATGCAGGGACAGTACATAACTTACACTCTCAACAACAGAAACAAAAATGTCGTGGCGTAAATGATGTTGGAAGCAATCACTAAACAAGAAAATGCATGACAAAACACCAGGAAACTAAAGCTTAGACTCCTACCTTTAAGCGCCGCGCCTCTAGGCTGATAAGGTAACTTGCCCACCTCAAGCAACATGGCAACCTCTTTCCCATAACTAGAGGCGGTCTCGAACTCAACCCTGATCTCCTTCACAACCTCTTGAAGATCCCTTGTACCGTGGACTGACAATGTGGTTAAGCTACTCCCTTTAGAAGATCCAACACCCAATGTCGATGGCGCTTCAAACTCAAAACTCACTCTTTTTTTCTTGGCACCCTCCTCTTCAGAGTTTTTCGATCCAATTGTATCTGGACTGCTCTTTATCTCCTTACCTTGGACAGAGTGTGAACTCTCACTGCTATGCAATGGCACTGTCCCTGAACTCCCCTCAATGCTATGCAATGGCACTGTCCCTGAACTCCCCTCACTGCTTGGCTGCTGCAATTGCACACCCCTTGAAGTCCCTTCACCCGAATTCCGATTCCTACTCAAATAACCATCCTCATTTGCCTTCCTCTTCTCCTTGTGAACCTCTTTCATCACTTCTTGCTCTGTCTCATCTTCCAACTCCGGAATTCCCTCTCTCTCCCTCACCTCCTTCGAGTCCGGACTACTTGTGGTGGACCCATACCCGTATCTAGCCCTCGCATTGTAACCCAGATAACCACTATTATCAAAAGTATCAAACACATTCAGGAAATCCCAAGTGGAGGTCTTCGGCGGTGAAGGCGGTGCCGGAGGAGGATCCGACGGCGGCGGGCTCGGAGGCCGCCGATTGTACGGATACTCACTTGTCATGGGTGACCCCATTGGGTACCCAAAAAACCCACCTCCTCCATACGGCTGATAACCCGAATAACCTGGATATGGGTCCGAGTACGGACCATTTTGGGCCGGATATCTCCCCTGCTCTTCATAAAACACCGTCTGCATCGGTGTCTCAGACCTTCTCATGTAATACATATGCGAAGTCGGAGGGTAACCATACGAAGAAGAAGAAGAAGGTACCTCTTGTTCTGGGCTCTCCTCGATGTGAATGTGACCCGAAGGCGAGTCCAAGTCAGAATCCGACCCGGACCCAGATGACAAATGCAGGTGCGAGTCTTCAATGTCCTCCTCCTTCGGCGAATCGACCGAAACAGAGTGCGAAATCGAGGTAGACGACGACGAATGTTTGTCGTTTTTGTGGGGGTGCCTTCTGGGCTTGCCTTCGTCGGAGGGCAACGTGAGAACGGGAGATCCCGGCGGCGAAGAAGACCCGCCGGCGCCGGAGATTATGAGGTCTTCGTCGACGAACTTGCAGAGGGCGTCGCCGATGTGCTTGAGGGAGTGGAAATAGGAGAGGTGGGCTGCGGCGAGAGCGTAGCGAGTATCCGACGCCGTTTTGATGAAGTCCTTGCGCTCTCTGCAGAAACTGACTAGCGGCAAGTTGTCGACCTTGGAGCCACCGCAGCCCATATCATCCGGCCAATAACCACTGAAGACAACCCAAAATTACAAGCCAATGCCACTCACCACCACCACCACCATATCTGCGTTTCACGGCGGTTCTTCTCCTCATGGTGTCCTCCACGCCTGTCCGTACAAACGAAGCATTGTGAACAACCGCAGATCCAAAGATGATCTAAGCGGAACACAAAGAGAAAGCAAAAACGAATTCAGACCCAAATCAGAATTTGAGATTTAACGGAAAACCCTACAGCAGAAAGTGAACACTACGACTAAGCACGCAGGGTAAAAATACAGACATGCATATGCGGCATATACATACATACATAGATATACAGGGCAGGGGCCTATAGATGCACAGAGACGGGTCAAATGAGAAATAAATTAAATGGGTAATGTAGGAAATTTAATAGAGAGTGAGATTTGGTGCATGAAAATGAGTGATGTAGAGGATGAATCAAATCTGACCGTTGAGATCGATGGGGATGAGTAAAGACTGTCCATGCGAGGAGGGGACAGAGGCCTCAGAGAGTCTCTGAGAGGAGGAAGAGAAAGGTGCGTGCAGAGATGCAGAGAGATTTTTCAAATTAGTTTTGTGGGATATTGTAATAAATTATATGAAAACAAAAAATTGGGCATGGAAATCCGTGAAGATGGGAGCTGGGTTTTGCTTCTTCTCGTTTGTTTGGAACTTTGGAGTTTTGTTTATTCAGAAAATTTCAGACTTTGAGAGAGAGAGAGGGGGGGGGAGCGATGAGAGAGAAAGTGAGAAGAAGGGACGTGGAACCCGCCACTGGAAACAGGCCTTGTCATTATTACCATTTTCAGCCTCTTTATTTCTGACTCCCGTTCTGCTTTTACCGCGAAGAAAGTGGGTAAATTCTTCCTTCCTTTGTTCTCTGTCAAAATTACAACTCTCTTTCTTTATGTGGATTTTTATTACCGCCTCTTTTTAGCTGATAAATAAATTTCACAGCTCATGGTGAGTTTAGTATATTATCCATTAGCTTAGTATATTATCGTTCCTTTTAACAGAAAATATCTCGTTAAAAAAAAATCACAGCTCATCATTAACTCATACTGAGAGAGAGTAGTTAAAGAAGATAGTAAATGATAAGAGTTTGTAAATTGTATTTCTGAGTAGTTAATTGTAAATGATTCTTTTCCTTTTTGTTAGCATGGACAGAATGAAACCATTAATCTTATTGTAATCTTTCATATTCTAACTTCTCATGCATTATAAATACGTAGGTATTATTGGAATTATTCTGATATCTGATTTCTAATTTATACATACAGAATCAAAACGTATATAAGTTTCACGATTCATAATCCAATGCTTGAACAATTAGGAATTAGATTGGAATTTTCGGGGAGACAAGTCCAATGGTAGAATTAATCGAAATCCAAGACCTGCTTCTGATGAGACAAGTCGAGTTTTCACACAAATCTTTTGTTTTTCCATTGGACTCTGAATTCAAACCCATATGGTTTTCTTCTCTTCAATTTTTTTCCTCCATTTTGAATGGACATAGGCTTTGACCTTCTAGAAGGCGCGTTGCATTTATTTAAAGTTTTTGGGTGAGAACTGGTTTGGTTATAACGTAATGGAATTGATCGCCGTTTGGTTTGGTGAGCAGAATCATTGTAATCATTTGGGGGGCCTTAGCCCTTTTCCACCAGAACATGTTCAAAAGTAGCTACAATCTAAAAGAGTAAGACACACGCTAATTCACCGTTAATTTTGTTTTTAGCTATAACCTAAACTCTCATTATGTTTATTTCACAAACTCTAACTAACCCTACAAATAAGGATAATCAAAGCGTTCAGCAAAAACAGTGTGGAGTCGTTGCACAAACAATAGCGCATGTAGTGTGTTCCGAGTATGTCTTTCATAAAATTAGTCACACGATTAGTGCGGGCGGAGTTAAATATGAAAGAGAAGTTTAAAATAGCATTATCATTTTGTCTCGCTAGATAAATCACATTTTGACACGCATA